TTTAAATTTTGTTAACTCAGTATTCACTACCCTTTTGATAGAGTAATACACGAGATAATAAATACAACGTATATAATTTTCAATTGTACTAAAGTAACAAGAAAAAGACAAAGTATTCATCTAGACGAAATTCTGGCTTGAGAGGCTTTCAGCCATTATTTCAACACGTGTTAGATTCTCAACACTATTTGATCAAATAATTGAATAATCCAGTGGCGTGACACAACGGTTCCTCTCGTACTGAGTTGTGCTACTATCTAAATACTTTGAAAATCTACCAATTGATTAATTATGATTTTTGTATCTATTGTTTAATGAGATTAATTCATTCTTTTAAGGATATTGTTTATGAGTTATTTCTATATACCGCTATTTATTAGTATCATTATTATTTCATTAAATATTTCATGTTTATATATATTATATTTTCTTTATTTTAATTTGAAGTAATTCATTCTTTTTATAAAACAAATAGTTTCTTTATTGATTATTTTATTTATTATTATTTTCATTCAAGAGAAGTGAATGAATCTTTAAATTACAATTTAATTTATAAGGACATTTTTTAATTTCATGTTTATTATTAATAATATGTTGGTTTTTATGTTATTTCTCTTTTTGATAATTATTTTTATTTATCATTTTTATTTATTCATTATTTATTTTTCATGACATTTCATTATATCATTTTTAAATATATTATACTAATTAGAATATATTGTTTATTCTGATATTTTCTTATTTTTTCTTTTTTGAAAATTTATTTTCTGATGTTATTCTTTAATATCTATATTTATTATTTATATTTAATATTTATATTTATTTGAATATATTCTCGATTCGTTTATGTTATTTTATATTCATTTCTTATGTTATTATATATATTTGATACGTTATATAAATTGAATTTTATCTTTATTTTTATTATTTTTATTATATTCGATTTCATATTCATGATTATTCATTCTTTAAATTATTTCATTATTATTTAAAATATAAAATATCCTTAATTTAATTAAAATATTATTAAAACTTATTATATATTATTTCTATTTTTTAGATAAACATTTATCTTTGTTTCATTCATTTCTATCATTTCGATGTTTTTCATTTATTTGATTTTCTTATTATTTCGTATTGTCTATTAAATAGTATTAAAATTAAGTACATCAAATTATTATTACATCATAAATACTAAATGGAATAATAAATAAAAATATTCCATTTATAAAATATTTCATTCTTTATCTTATTATTTCACTTTATTTATTTGGTTCTTTATTTATATATTTCTTTTCATTTTATTTAGTCTATTTATTATTTTCTTTATTTCTCTTTCTTTAGATTTCTTATATTATTTTATATTTTTTATATCGTTTCATTTTATGTAATATTATTTTATTGTATTATGTTTTAAACATTTATTTAATTTAGTATTATGTTTTGTCATTCATTAAAATCATTAAATGTATGTTGAAGTATATTTGATAATTAATTTGATTTTATATATTCTTCTTTCACATTACTATGTTATTTTGTATTATCATTCATAAAATATTATTGTATTACTCTTATTTCATATTTCATTGTCATATTTATCGATATTGTTGTTTTATTCATTTTAAAAATAACAATAAATATATGAAATACTTGTAATATAATATTCATAAATATTTTGAAATGAATATATGATTGTATCAACATATTGATACATTATAACATTAAATATAATTGAAATAATTTGGTAATACACAAATAGAAAATAAGTTGTGTATATAAATAATCATTAATATATTCATTATTCAGTTAGATTTGTTGTACAAAATATATATTGAATTAAGATTATTTTAATTTTCAATTCTGATAAATCATGAATAACATTTGTGTTTTAGTTATTGATGATTTGATAATTGAATATAAATTAATACAGATCTTTTAATATATTATTTAGTATTGTTTTCAATCAGAAACTTTCAAATATATTGTATTATAAATAAGATTATCATCAAATCAGAAATATAAGAATAAGAAATATGAATATGATAATAAAATAATAAGTTTAACCAATCATAATATTTTGTTTGTTTGAAATAAAAATACACAATAAGAATAGAATATTTTTAGAGTTGGATGAAAGAATTTTGACATTTTAACATTTCATCAAGTCATGAATGATATACAATGATAATATAAACACAAAATACAAAGAAGGCAAATAAATTTCAATTCAAATTCAAATAATGAATTGACAATAGAGAAATAGAAGTATGTTAGTGTGATATATTTAAAGAGAAGAACTAATTAGAAATAAACAACGATTCTATTGATATTAATTGTTGTAATTAGTAAAGGATTGGAGACTGAACAATACAATGAACAAGGAAATAAAGATGATAATAAACGTGAAGATAACATGATTGATTCAACAAGAACTAAACAACATAAACATGAGAATAAATATAACGATGATGAAAATACACAAAATCAAACATATAATCGGTTGACTAATACCATTCAAAATATTTATAATAATATACATTTGATAGCTGAAACAACAACAACATCACAAGGAGCAAAAGAGGGTGTAACTTCAGTAGGAACTACAACAACAGTATCACAAGGAAGTGAAGTAACAACACCACAAAGAAATGCACCATCATCACCACAGTCAGGAGCAACACCAACAACAGGAGATGGAGGTTCAGGAACAACAAACACACAAGCAACAGCAGAAAATCCAGCAGGAGACTCAACAAAAGGAGGTGCAGGAACAACACCAGCAGTGTCATGAAGTACTTCATCAACTTCACAGTCTTCAACGCAATCAACAACAGGAGAAACGGCAAATACACAATCAGCAGAATCAAAAGGACAATCCACACAAACCTCGCCATCAGCACAATCTACATAAACATCAGGTGAACAAAAACAAAACCAACTTTCATCAGTTTCAAAACCAACAACACCAGACACTTCAACACAACTAGCACCACAATCACCAGCACCAACGTCAACAAATGGACAATCATCAGCGTCAACAGTAACACCACAATCAACATCAAGTCCATCAACTTCCCCATCATCAAACCAACCACAACCACAAAGTGACACAGCCTCATCAACTTCAATACAAGGAAAAGGACAAACAACATCTACACCAACAACAGATAAACAACCATCACCAACAACACCATCAGAAGGAAAGCAAGATACACAACAAAAGAACCAGAAACACAAAAAGAACATCCACAACATCCACAACAACAAAATGAAAAACAAGATAATAAAAATACAACTACTTCTGATATTTCACATGATAAAACTATTGTTAGTTCTGTTGATAGTTCTGATATTCCTAATAATATTGATGGGACATCACTTGTGTTTATGTTTTTGACTTTTGTTATTCATTTGTTCTTCTTCTAATTATTGTGTTTTTCTTTTTTCTTTTCGTATTCTTCTTTATCTTTTATTCATATGTCTATAAAATATTTCCTATATTTCATTCATGTTTAATGTTATTATAAAATTGAATTAATTCATATCCATTTGAGATGAATGAATAATCAATATTATCAAAAATGACACGATAAAAGAATAAATATTGATATTAAAAGAAAATAAAAGAAAATGAATTAATAAATTCATAAGAAATAGAAAATGTCATGAATATATTATGAATGAATAAATAATAATGAAAACACAACATTTTAACACAAATATTATCATACAAATTGTTAGAATGGTTATTAATTAAATGAATAATAACATTTATAAACATATTTATATTAATCATATGTTGATTTATCATTATTGAAATAATGAAACAACAAATTAAAAATGAATATAAATAATTACGAAATAATTACAATATAAAACTATTTGATGAATTAAATATTTGATTAATCATATGTAAATATATAAAATATGAATAAAATAAGTGAAGTATAAGAGAATAATTGATATTAATATCATTTATATGATTCATTTATAACAATTTATTTTTTAATTTATTATTATTTCTTCTTTATTTATTTATTGTTGTTCTTCTATGAATTTTTATTTTCTTTTCTTCTTTATTTTTTTTCTTATTCATCTCTATTTATTCTCTATTTAATATCACATTAACTCTTATTCTTCTTTTTATATTCTTCCATTTATTATCACTTAGTATTAATCTTGTCTACTTTTATTTTCTTCTTTCATTATGTATTTATTCTTTGTATTTTGTTCATTTTTTATTTGTTATTTGAGTTAGTTCAAATAAAATTGTATGAAACGACATTTTGTGTATAATGTTTATTATTGATATTTAATGGTAGTTTGTATTTATTAAAAGAAATCAAAACATAATTAAAGTATAATTATAAATATATTCGAATATTAATATGTTAGTATGAAGTACTAAAATAAAAGTAATACTATACATTTTTATTATGTTCAATCAAAGAATTTAATTGAAAATGATTGAATTGATTATTTTATTTTGGTCTTTTTTATTCTTCTTGATAAACACAAATTAATAATAGAATATAAGAATAATTAATAAAAGAGTAAGAAAGATGAAATAGAAACAAAAGAATAAGTATTTTGTTCAATGGTTTATGATAATTTTAGAATATACCAAACTAATTTTCAAAGATTTTTGGTAGTAGGCATTTCATATTTTTGTTTACCAAATTTAAAATATTAAAAGACTGAAATAATCCCAAGAAACACAATTTTGTTATAAATAAAATTTGATAAGAAAGGAAAGAAAATATTTAAAGAAAAAAAGAACAGAACTTCAAACAAGAAATCAAAATACATATATGAATACACTAAGTATAAAGTAAGAGATGAAAGACTTAATTAAGAAAGAAGAAGCTAGTAAGTAAAAGAAGTGAAAGTAAGAAGAAGTACAAAACAGGGAATATAAAATAGGAAGAAATAAGCAAGAGAAAGTTAAGAGACACTATCAAACAGATAGAGGAGATGAATAAAGAAATATAAAAAGAAAACAAAAACAGTAATTAGGAAATTAAACAAAGTAATGTGAAAGGATAATAATGAAAAGCATCTGATGAGATGACCATTTCTAAGAGTAGAAACTAAATAGAAAAGTAATATGAAATAAAAGGGACATTCAAATGATTAATGTGGTGATCAAATGAATGAAGAAATTAAAAGTAGTTTGATGTTGTTTTTTGTATTTATTACTTAAGGAAACATTAAGAAACCTTCATGATATACCACAGAGAAATATCATGAACAACTATCCAAATAAATTATTACCTCGAGTTCATGATCCGAGTGTATGGAATTCACATAATCGAAACATGTTACAATGAAAAGGGATATAATTTAAAAAGGAAGTTGAAGAAAGTAATAAAGAAAATAAACAACTCATAGAAGATAAAAGTGATAATATAAAAAACAAGAAAAGAGAATAACAACAGTAGAAGATAAAGAATAGAAATAAATATAATTGAATAAATTATTTAAAATATTTATGATAAAAATATAAAATAATAAAAAATAAACATAATAATAATAAGAAATGTATAAAGAATAGAATAATAAATATAGATATTAACATAATATTAAACAACAAATGGTTATAACGATTATATAATAAATAAAATTGTATTTAATATTTATTTAATATTTTTATTAGTTATTATAAATATAACATTATTTCATTCATTATTTAGTTGTTTGTTTATTTTATTATTTTCATTTTTATTTATCTTTCATTATTTTCATTATTCTTTTGTTTATTTGTATTTCTTATTCTTTTTTATTCTTTTATTATCCTTTCTTTTCTAGAAGTATTTATTCTATGATATATTATTTCATTTTTTAAGTTTTTATTCAATCAATTGTTATTTAATTTATTCTTTTTATTCTTTTCTTTATCATATTCACTTTCATATTTTATCATTATCATATCACTTCTTATTATTTATTTCTTATTTATTTTATTATTAATATTTATTATTTCATTCTTTCTTATTCTTTTTATTTCTTTTTGTATTTATTTTTCTTTATTTCATGGATTATTTCATCATCGTTCTCATTTAGTTTGTATTATATGTTATTTTTATC